GCGGCTTTGTACTTGTTTATGTTGTTCTTATCAATAAAATATTATCGCTCTTTACCAAAACCAAAAAACAAAAATATATTAAATGCAACTGAAAAACACATATGATCAAAATGAAAATATGTTCAATAACATAACTAAAAGTGAACCTATTTTAATGTGTATTTTTATTGCTGCCTTCCAACTAAATTTATAAATAAATAAATAAAGGACTTTTTTATTGCTGCCCTTCAACTGAAAGTGAACCTTAGCTGGTTATTGTGTTCCAACTTCGTTTCTTGTCATTTGATCTCCTCATTATTAAGACACAACAATTCTTGTACTTTGCAGTTGAATGTTCAATTTGGTGTTTCAGTTTGCTTTCCTTCCCTTTGGCATCTGCTCAATATATATCACACGGTTCGGGAGACGAGCAACTCATCCTCTTCATAGCTGAATTAGTCACAACGTGATTTCGATCTGGATCCAAAAACTATATCAGTGATGTTTATGCATTGTCTCCCCACCACCGGATCACAAACCCCATCAGCACCTATATTTTACTTATAATATATAGCTTGAGTATCTTCAATTCGGTAACAATGTCATGGGATGCATTGCACCATCAACCATAAAATATGCAGAACACGAGTGGTATTGTACCATCTCTCTCTCTCTCTCTCTCTCTCTCTCTCTCTATATATATATATATATATTCATGAAACGCAGGCCCGGCCCTGGGCCAGGGCAGGAAGTGCGACCGCTCTGGGCCCTGGCTCAAGGGGGGCCCAAATATATTTTTTTTTTTCTGGCATTGTCAGGTCATATTTAACGGTTATATAAATAAATAAAAAAACATATTGATATAAAGTATTGCCAGCGGTGTTGGTTAGGCCTGATTCTTAATTCGAGTCTTTACAAAGTTTGAATCCCAGCATTATGTTTCCTTCCTTATGCTTTTTTTTTTGTCTTCAAGTATGCAAGTTATTTTTAGTAGTTCAATGAAATTTTTTTTTTTTGGGGTCTGCCATTGTTTTTTTTTTTATAGAGAAATGTATATAAAATAAGCAAGTTCTTTTTAGTACTCCAATGTTTTTATATACATCTCTCATTTTATAATATTATGTAGAGATATATATAAAAAACCACATAGATATATCTCACATTATAATATTATGTAGAGATATATATAAAAAACCACATAGATATATCTCACATTATAATATTATGTAGAGATATATATAAAAAACCACATAGATATATCTCACATTATAATATTATGTAGAGATATATATAAAAAACCACATAGATATATCTCACATTATAATATTATGTAGAGATATATATAAAAAACCACATAGATATATCTCACATTATAATATTATGTAGAGATATATATAAAAAACCACATAGATATATCTCACATTATAATATTATGTAGAGATATATATAAAAAACCACATAGATATATCTCACATTATAATATTATGTAGAGATACATCTCTCATCATTTTCTTTTTTGTCTTCGATCCTTTCTTATATAGAGATATATATAAAATAAATGATATTATGTAGATCTCATTTTATAATATTCTACATCTACATATATTTTTCCTGTGTGGTATACATATATATAGGGTCTATTTTCGGCGTTGCCCCGGGCTTTGAAAATCTCAGGACCGGCCCTGATGAAACGGAATAGCTAGCTAGCTTTTCTATCCAGCATTCCAGCTCAGCCTCCCGTCCCCTGTGATGAGTTCTGTATCACTCTGCCCAGGAAATATTTTTGCATTAATTTATATTCATTATGTGGTACATTGTCTGTGTCAGAATCATTCATCACCTTCCATTTCCCACCAACTGGTTTTTTAATATCATACACATGCACATGCTGCTAGTGTTCGAAAAATCGGCCTTGGCGGCCGCCTAGCGGTGCCTAGGAGTGGCCTGGGGGGGTCTGGGCGCCTGGGCGGTCCTTCATTTCCGAGAGATTTAGGCGGCACCATGTGATAAATTAAGCGAAGAAGATTTGGCTGGATCTGTTCCACGAGCTTGCAGGGCGGCAGCACCAGGTGGTAAACGCGAAGAAGATGACCTAATGGAATACGCTGTACACGTTGTTTTGTTGGGTAGGAGTTATTAAGCTATACGTATCGTTTTGGTGGGTCGGAGTTATGGGCCCAACAAACAAAAGCCCTTTCGGTCTATACCCAAAAATTGCAATGTTATATTTTTAACTAAATATGTTAATTGACTAATAGAGTATTATTATATGCTTTATGCTTAACTTTTTCCCCATGTTTTATATCAATGATGGTACTTTCTAATTTAGGCCTCTAATTTATATATCATTTGATTTTGCATGATATTGGTATACATTTATAATTTATAATACATAATAATAATAATAATAATAATAATAATAATAATAATAAGAAACATATAGGCTCTTATTACTCCTATAGGCGCTAGGCCCTGCCTGCTACAGGCCTGCCGCCTGCTACCGGCCTACCGCCTACCGATTTTTCGAACATTGGCATTTTCATGTTCTTTTTTCCTAGATGAAATGCATGTTGCTTTATCATACAACGCGTTCCAGACAATAAGCTTACTTGCATTAACAAGATACTCATCAGGCACCATAAGGAAGAAGAAATAGATGCAAATGAATTTGCAAATATTGATGGAGCTATCAACTCATTTTTGGTCATAAGACAGCAAATCTGATAACATCATTGAGAACACACAAAACCAACTGCAAAATTTGGAGTTGTGCCAATAAGATCTAGAAGAGTCACCTGAACACCTTTCAAGGCCTTTGATCAAAACCAGAGTTTCCTTCCTCAACATCCTCAACCACTAGCTTAGGATGTTAACTTAGTTATGGATGATTCATCCAAAATTGATTTGGCTCATGCTTGTACATGAACAATGCTTACAATATATTTTCTCGGATACTCAATAAATACTTTTCTCTCTACAATTTATTTCAATATTACAGTATTTTTTTGTTCTCATACGATTTTTGGGAAAATTAATACCAATGTTTGAAAAATCGCTATGCGGTAGGCAGGGGCCTAGCCCAGAGGAGTAATCAGTGCCTAAGTGGGCGCCTAGGCATTTCTTTTTTTCTTTAATTATTTTGTACTGTAAATTATAAATTTATACCAAAGTTATTACAAAAATGTATATATATGAGTCATGATATATCCTTAGATATAAAGCAGAGGGTTGAAATAAAAACACAAATAGGTTATGTTTTAGTAATATGGGTCCAAGCTCATAAGAGAACCTTGTTAAAATACCAGCCCATAAGTGAAACACAGCGTTTCACTAACCCTATCTTCATCTTTTTTTGGACGAACCCTATCCTTGCTTATCCCTCATCTCTCTGCCTCCATCACCTCCCATCTCTCTCTACCTCCATCGTCTCTCCTCTTTCTCTGCCTCCATCATCTCCTCTTTCGCACCTTTGAAATAAGATGAGTCTAGCAACAGCTACAAAGAAAAGAAGAAAAATTCAAAGATACCTCTGACAAGTAGAAAAGAAGCTGTCGCTGCTATTGATTGGGTCAATAAGAGTAGAGAAGCAGCCACCCTACCCACCGAGGCCCCCAGACTTGCCCAGGTGCTGCCTAACTCCCTGGCCACTCCTAACGATTAGGGTGAAATGGAGGTAGCGTCCTCCCGCCTAGCACCTAGGCGCCGCCACCTAGGCCGATTTTTCGAACACTGATTCTAATATTGGAAGGATCACTGCTCAATGAATTAACCTCAATTTTATTTTAGTTTTTTTTTTCTCTTTCTGATAAAACTTAATAACATCAGAACACGAAGCATTTGCTGGTAAAACTCATAAGTTTCACGAATATGTTAAATCGATGTCAAGTCTGTCCATGTCTAATTATCTCCAGGAAAATAATCAAATCAGTGGCAGGGCCGGTCCTGAGATTTTCAAGGCCCGGGGCAACGCCGAAAATAGACCCTATATATATGTATACCACACAGGAAAAATCTATGTGGATGTAGAATATTATAAAATGAGATCTACATAATATCATTTATTTTATATATATCTCTATATAACAAAGAATCGAAGACAAAAAAGAAAATGATGAGAGATGTATCTCTACATAATATTATAATGTGAGATGTATTTATGTGGTTTTTTATATATATATATATATCTCTACATAATATTATAAAATGAGAGATGTATATAAAGGCATTGGAGTACTAAAAAGAACCTGCTTATTTTATATACATTTCTCTATAAAAAACGATGGAAGACCCAAAAAAATTAATAATAATTCATTGAACTACTAAAAATAACTTGCATACTTGAAGACCAAAAAAAAAATGCATAAGGAAGGAAACACAATGGGCCTAACCAACACCTCTGGCAATACTTTATATCAAGATGTCTTTTTATTTGTTTATATAACCGTTAAATATGACCTGACAATGCCAAAAATAAAATAAAATTTGGGCCTCCTTGAGCCAAGGCCCAGGGCGGTCGCACTTCCTGCCCTGGCCCAAGGCCGGGCCTGATCAGTGGGACTAATTAATCCATGACACTCACATGGCAGACTCAGATCTCACATCCAATAGAGATAATTGTGCTTGTTTTCGTGCTGTTCGGGGAACAGTTCATCAAGTCTGCTACAAAGCATTTTTCTACAATATGGAAACAGAATATTGCATGGTTAATCGGTATTGCATGGTTTTTCCACTAGCTCCTGGAGCAACAATCATGAAATTAAGATATCACTTACATTAATAGGATGCATGGTTTTTGTCTCTCCACGTGCGATCATCACATTAAAATATAATGGTTCTTCAATTATAATAGCAGACTCTGGGATTTTATATGCAAAATGAATCAGCTCATGAGTTGTACGGGTCCCCTGCCTCAACCAACACTATATATTAAGTAGATGCATATGGAAAGGAACACATCAATCTCAATTGTGCATTAACTACAAGGTCTTCTTCTCTATCCTCTCGCAACACACAAACAAGAAATGGCTTTCCACACGCGCTCTAACAGCTTCCCGTCTAGGCCACACCCGGTCCTTCAAGAAGTTGATGAACTCTTGTGCAGATTGAGATCTTCTGAGGCCACCTCCACATCTTCATCATCAATTGCACAAGAACTTCAATCAATCCTACAAAGAAGGCGGGGATGGAGGTGAGAAACTGGAGTCAGAAGTGAGGTTAACAAATACTTGACCTCGAGGAACATGGTGAAAAAGACAATCCACAAGGCTATGAAGAATCTCAAGGCAATAGAAAACAGATCAACTTTCTCTTTCCTCAACTAGGGTCATGAGACCATTGCCATTGTTAGCAAGTTGAGAGAAAGTAGAAGCAGTCACTCTTCCAGTGTTTGAATCACTTTCTTCCTTCATCTCGGGCCAAAGTCACAGACAAGAAGCTGGTCATTGGTGTCCAAAAGTCACATACAACCACTCATAAATAATCAACAACTTTCAGTAGAAAACATAATACCAAGAGAAATTTTGGACCTTTGGATGAACCTTAAGGCTAGGGCTTCCTTCTGTTGGAATGACAAACATGATACAATTTGGCATGTTCCCCTTCTATTGGAAGACTGTTAACCAATGAGGAAGGAAGATTGCTTTGTAATAAATATAGTCCTTTTCTCCTTCTATCTGGAAAAAAAACACAGTAAATCCCACATTGAAAAAACATAACATTTGTTAACTACTTAATATTGCTAACTCGTAAAATTTTGATTGCCGAGCCTAGTAATGCGGGCTTGTGACCCAACATGGGGGCATTAAAGGTGGAATGTGGGAAGGTCTTGTTAAGACGCAGACAACAGGTCCAGTGTCGGTGTTTGCCCCTATGGTTATAGTAGGCTTCTACAAAGATGCTGAGGGGCCACGTATTTGGCTCCCAAGTTGACGGCTAATCTCAGTTGGCTGGTTGACAGCATTGTGGAAAGGCAGTTGACTTATCAGAGCAGCTGTGGCAGACATAACGGCATCTGATCTCACTCTGGGCCGACTGAGATCCGCTCTTTACTTGACCACTGACCACCACCTTTTTACCTCCCTCCTCCCATAACCCACGATGCCAACCCAATTCCTCTTTTTTTTGTTTTTATATGTATATTAGCTTTTTCGATTTTGAACATAAAATAACATACCTTGCATGCAAATACATCATCTATCTGATATCAAATTCATGCACAATTTTGCTTTGTAAATGTTCCAATCCATGGGCCATGGCGTCAGTTAAGGTTAATTCAGAGAACATCTTCCTAACAGATTTGTAGAGGCCAAGAATATTTAAACTATTAATGCAAAAGTTTCATCCTCACGTGGGATAATCTCAAAAAATTCAAAGGAGTTTCTGAAATTATGATTGAGACCACATGGGATTTTTGCAAGCAAATCAAATATCTCAAGGGAGATGAATATAATCAACAACTAATGTCTAATAGCATTCAAAGGAGTATTTGACTCCCACACGCTTTGAGCAGTAAACATTATACCAAGAAGGATGTCTAAACTCGGCCATACGGTTGTGATGTATATATATTTATTCCTTTTCCTCTTCTCTCTTGAAAATACTGTAGATCCTACATTGGAAAAGTGTAATACGTGTTATGTACTTAATATTGTTAACTCCTAAAACTTTTATCGCGAAGCTTAGTAATATGAGCATGTGACCCAACATGAGGGCATTAAAGGTGGAATTTGGAAATTAGCGTTAAGACATGGACAACCTACGGCACAATGCTCTCGGCACGGTTGCTCGCAGGCTACCCTACAGTCCTAGCAATCATGGTGGCTTATCAGAGCAGCTGTCGATCACGCTAGGCCTAGGTACGCTCTTCACTTGACCGCCACCTGTTTTAGTTTTCTGCGATTTTCCATGACCTGTTCAGATTTAATTCAAAACCTATACATTTGCTTCCGTCAATCTCTCCAACCACAGTAGGCAGCCAATCCACTTTTGCTTTGCTTATTAATTCAAAATAAAATGTTTGGGGAGCAGTCCAATTCATAAAGTCCGCTAGCTACAAACCATTTTTCAACATCATGGAAGCAAAACGCAATTGCACATGATTTTCATTGAACAATACAGATTGCAAATCTTGCCTGCTACTTGCTTAACAATCATGCCAAGGACCTGAAAAATAATATGAACTTTCTAATCACATAAATTTATCAGCATATAATTGAGTTTATGCATTAGGGTTAAGCATGTTAGTTTATAGAACTCTGTCCAATATGTTAGTTATGAGCTAAATTAATGAGTTCATGAATTGGGATCCAATTCAAATCATGTTACCCTTCTCACGGATATGATTGAAGAGGATGAGATTCCATGTCCCCCTCCTCAACCAACACTATATATTAAGCAAACACATGGAAAAGATATAACATTAACCACTTCTTTCAAGGTCTTCTATTCTATCTTCTCACAATACTCAACAAGAAGAAATGGCTTTCCACACTCGCTCCAACAGCTTCACCTCAAGGCCACACCCGATCGTTCAAGAAGTTGATGAACATTTGTGTAGATTGAGATCTTCTGACGCCACCTCCACATCCTCCACATCAATCAGCCACAAACTAATTGGCCTTCAAGACTTGCATAGTTGTGTTGATAGGTGGTTTCAGTTGCCCCTCACTCAACAAGCCTTGGCCCAAGAGCAGAATGAGAAATCGACTAATGAGCTATTAGATGGTTCTCTCAGGCTCTTGGATGTTTGTAGCAGTGCCAAGGATAGGAATGCGTACAGGGCCTTCAATTGATCATGCGAAGAACGCGAGGAGGTGAATCTGGAGCACTCACTGAGGTCAGGAAATACTTGACCTCAAGGAAGATTGGTGAAGAAGGCAATCCACAAGGCTATGATAAATCTCAAGGGATCCAGTTTCTCATCCCTCAGCAAGGACAATGAGACTATTGCCGCCGTTAGCACGTTGAGAGATATCGAGGCAGTCACTCTCTCAGTGTTCGAATCACTCCTGTCCTTCATCTCTGGTCCAAATTCAAGGCCAAGCAGCAGCTGGTTATTGGTTGCCAAGATTATTCACACCAAAAGAGTAGCTTGTGAGGAAGAAACAGAAGCAAATGAATTTGCCCAAGTGGATGCTGCTCTGCAATCACTCATTAAGACAAGCAAATCTGACCACAAGAATGCAGACAACCAGCTCGACAATCTGGAGTCATGCATTCAAGATCAGGAAGAACAACTTCACTGCCTATTTAGGCAGTTGATTAAAACAAGAGTCATCTTCCTCAACATCCTAAACCACTAGATATATATATTTTAGCTTTTTCGATTTTATACATAAAAAACATACATGTGTATGACAGACCATCCTCTGGATATCAAATTGATTATACAAAATGATTACTCATTTGCTTAATTGTCAATTATTTTTATTCGCATTCGTTTTCGGAACCATTGAAACAAAAATTCTACCATTTCCATCTCTTATCATCTATCATCTATACTAGGTCTGATTACAAGAGAAGATGAATCAACTCTTAAGTCAAACCTGAGGGTAAACTCAGAGGAGTATCGAAAACCAGAGCAAAAAAAAAAAAAAAAAAGGACTTGAATCTCACACGCTTCAGCCAAGAGCGAAAAAAAGGTTTTGGTTCAATTAGGACAGTCTAGCGAGCCATGATGAATCCAAGTAACCACCGATCCGTTATCCTTCCACTGCCAAGAGCGGGAGGTTGTCGATGCTCTGTGAAGCCAGCCTTACGCAGTTCCCTCCGCTCTAGAAAGAGAGTGACCCAGAGCCTTCGCTCGAGCCACAGGGTTCAACTCCTGGCTTGGAATGGGCGGTCCAGTAAATAGCCAACCCGAACCCGACCCGCTAATACTGAGCCAATGTTCCAGCACCTCAAAGCCCCCACTCGGGTTACAAGCTTGCGTTACAAAGCTCGGCGATACAAACACCTCGTGCAGGGTTTATAAAGCGTAGTGTGTGATATGAACCAAGCGATGTGGGACAAGTTGCACTCACTTTGCCTCTTAAGATCAGATCTTGAATAAGCTCAGAATTTCGTCTATACTTTTAAGTGGCGATTTAGGGAGTTGAGTGTTGAAGATTCTATTTCTCTCAAGGAAGACAACCAATAATAAACATTTCACATTCAAAGGAGACTAAAAGAAAGTTTATAGTGTTGCTTGATTTTGTTTACAACTATTCTTGTGGATGCTAGAGGATCCTCAAGACCTTGTTATTGGTAACACTGGTTGGTGAAAAATAGTAACATCAGTTCAAACATTGACATAAACAATTTTCTCCCAGGAAACAGTAAACACATATTAAAGTAAACATAAACATGGCAGACTCATTTCTCACACCCTTCTGATTATAATAAAAATTATGCTGCTTTTCTTTCTGTTTGCTAATTAACCAGCAACTCACCCTTTTTCGACATTATAGAAACACAATGGATGGTGACATTTTAATGCAGAATATTGCATATTTGCAGATCATGCCTCCTCCTTGGGAAACAATCATGTGAATGAAGGACCTATTGGAAGATAATATCGTTTAGGATACTTGATTGATTCTCCCTGATCATAGGGACAGATTTGATCCGTGTAAATCAATGTAATTATGTTCTATTTCCTTCCTAGAATAGGCTACCTTGTATTATATAAGTCTTGTGTCCTATTGTAAATATACATAATGAAAATATTCTGAAGTTTCTTCCAAGACTTCATATTCCTAGAACTCTAGCCGAATCACTTTTCAACATGGTATCAGAGCACCGTTTCTGGTGACTCCGAATACCCACACAGCTTCCGCAATTCCAACAAACACAATATCACCATGGGCGATCCAGAACCCATTGGGACGTCCACCCACACCCAAAACCTAAAGTTTACAGAGACATTCACAGATGTCTCAAACCCTTTTACTCTATATTCCTCAGATCAACCTGGGAATATTCTGGCCTCCAAGACACTTCAAGGAGACAACTATAGTACCTGGAGTCGTGCTATGCGAGTCAGCTTGAGCGCGAAGAATAAACTTGGCATGGTTGATGGCACCATCGACCCTCCACCAGAGACTGACAAACAATTTGCATCATGGCAAAGATGCAATGATATGGTCCTTGCCTGGATTCTCAATTCGGTCCACGAAGACATTGCAAGCAGCGTTTCTTATTACACGACAGCAGCCGAGGTTTGGGCCGACTTGCGAGATCGTTTCTCACAAGGAAACGACTCACGTATTTATCAAATCAAGAGAGAGATCGTTGAGCACAGACAGGAACAGCAATCAGTCTCGATCTACTACACGAAACTAAAAGCTTTGTGGGATGAACTGGCATCTTACAATGAAATCCCGACTTGCACCTGTGGGGGATTGAAAAAGGTGAGTAATCGGGATGAGAAAGAAAGGGTGATGCAGTTCCTGATGGGTTTGAACGACTCTTATGCAGCAGTACGTGGCCAGATACTATTGATGCAGCCACTACCAGACACTCGGAAGGCATACTCCCTTGTTCACCAACAAGAGAAACAAGTAGAGGTATCTCTGAATGGTAACAATATAAATTTACATGCCATGAATGTAACTCATAACAGGGAAGCTGCTGCACCGAAAGGAAACACCCTACAATGTTCATATTGTGATCAAAAATACCACACCGTGGATCGATGCTTTTATCTGATTGGTTTCCCGCCTGGCCATAAGTATCATGGCAAGTCAGCCAAGCCACCAAACAAAAGAAAACCTGCGGCAAACCAAGTGCAAGTGGAAACCGAGACCACCAAGGGCGCTGACTCACGACACAAGGCAACGTCCAGTGACGGTCCGAAGTTCACCACTGAAGAATATAATCAACTCATGGCAATGCTCAAGAAGAGCAGCCTCGATGGTAATCCTCAACATTTTGTGAATGCAACAGGTACAATCACACCTTCCTCTAACTTGTCAGAAGTCTTCCCAAAGAAAACCTTATATTGGATCATTGATAGTGGGGCAACGGACCACATCTCTTCCTCTCCTCACTTACTAGACAAGAAATCATTATCCATGCTAGATTCTGTTCAATTGCCGAATGGAGGACAGGTTTTAATAAACTCGATCGGTTCTATACAAGTTACCCCTCACATTAAACTTGATGGAGTGCTCCATGTGCCTAACTTTCGAGTTTGCTTATTATCTGTTAGCAAACTTACTGCAGCATTACGATGCATAGTGATTTTCTTCCCTGGTTTTTGTGTAATACAGGACATGGATACGAGGAGGACGATTGGCCTGGGCAAGCGATATAATGGGCTCTACTACTTGGCGCCAGAACAAAACCCTCGCCTTGCTCATCACATTAGCCGCAACTCCATCCTCTGGCACCAACGGTTAGGGCACCCTTTCGCCGAGCCTCTGCAAACCTTAACCAAACAAGTTCCAACAATAATGTCTGATTCTAGTCATTTATGTGACATTTGCCCTCTTGCTAAACAAACCCGTTTATCTTTTCCATCAAGTTCTATTTCTTCTAAAGCACATTTTGATTTAATACATTGTGATATTTGGGGCCCTCATCGAGTCAATTCCCATTCGGGGGCTTGATACTTTTTAACAATTGTTGATGATTATTCTCGCTATACTTGGATCCATCTTATGCGTTTTAAGTCTGAAACACAAGGGTTGTTATGTTCTTTCATTGCTTGGGTACACACACAATTTAATTGCATGATCAAAGCACTTAGGGCTGATAATGGTGGTGAATTCACCTCTTTGCGTTCTTTTTTTGATAGCAAGGGTATCATGTTTCAGACTTCTTGTCCGTCCACACCCCAACAAAATGGGGTTGTTGAACGAAAACATCGTCATCTCCTAAATGTTGGTCGAGCACTTAGGTTTCAAGCCAATTTACCACTACATTTTTGGGGGGAAAGCATACAAACAGCGTGTTATTTAATTAATCGTCTACCTACCCCTCTCCTTGCTCACAAAACCCCTTATGAAATTTTGCATCGTCAACTTCCCAATTTTTCTCACTTACGGGTTTTCGGTTGTTTATGTTATGCTACCAACCTCCATCCTCACCATAAATTTGACCAACGTGCCCAAAAATGTATTTTTGTTGGATACCCATTAGGCCAGAAAGGTTATCGCGTTTATGACCTCACCACACACAAAAAATTTTCCACTCGTGACGTGGTATTTCATGAAACCATGTTTCCTTTTCTCACACAACCTCCTGATCATCAACCTGACACACTTGTCTTGCCTATCCCCACCGACTATCCCACTCACCCTAATCCTACACAACCTCATCCAGAAACCCATTTACCCACACCACCGCCAACACCCCATTCATCTACACCTACACCCATAGCGCCCTCTTTGCCCACACCGATAGACCCTTCCACTTCCCCACCAACCATCACCGACTCCCTCCCAAAACAAGATGAATTAAACTAATCATATGCGTTGATCAGTATAATTGAGTTAAATGGTTTTTGCCTCTCTACGTATTTGTGTAAACAGGGACGTCAACGCCACTCGTGGTATCGTGTATTAATTATGATTGATTAAATGGTTGTAGCATTTTAATGTGCTAAATTAATCAATTCATGAGTTGGAATGATAGGGTGGGAAGGGACACTGCATAAACATTGCCTAGGGAACATATAGATCCAAATCGAAATCATGTTACCTCTCACTGATGATTAAAGTGGATGAGATTCCATGTCCCCCTCTTCAATCAACACTATATATTAAGCACTCTGAATTGTACATCAATCAAAAGTTTCTAAGTCTTCTGTTTTATCTTCTCACAACACACAAAGAAGAAAGGGCGTGCCTCACTCGCTCTAACAGCTTCCCTTCAAGGCCACACGCGATCGTTCAAGAAGTTGACGAGCATTTGTGTAGACTGAGGTCTTCTGAGGCTGCCTCCACATCTTCATCATCAATATGCCACAAACTAAGTGGCCTCCAAGACTTGCATGATTGTGTTGATAAGTTGCTTCAGTTGCCTTTCACACAACAAGCCTTTGCCAAAGAGCAGAATGAGAAATGGACTAATGAGCTATTAGATGGCTCTCTCAGGCTCTTGGATGGTTGCAACAGGGCCAAGGATGCTATCTTGCAAACCAAGGAATGCGTACAGGATCTTCAATCGATCATACGAAGAACACGAGGAGATGAATCTGGAGCACTCACCAGTGAGGTTAGGAAATACTTAACCTCCAGGAAGATGGTGAAAAAGATCCAAAAGGCTATGAATAATCTCAAGGGAATCGAAAACAGATCCACCTTCTCTTCCCCAAACCAGGACAATGAGTCTATTGCCATTGTTAACAAGTTGAGAGAAGTTGAAGCAGTCACTCTTGCAGTGTTTGAGTCACTGCTGTCCTTCATCTCTGGACCAAAATCACAGCCAAGCAGCTGGTCATTGGTCTCCAAGATGATGCATTCCAAAAAAGTTGCTTGTGAGGAAGAAAAAGAAGCCAATAAATTTGCACAAGTGGATGCTGCATTGAACTCACTCATTGGAGACAAGACAAGCAAAACTCAAAACAAAAGTGTCGAAAATGCACAGAACCAGCTCGAGAAGCTGGAGTTATGCATTCAAGACCAAGAAGAAGGAGTTGAGTGCCTATTTAGGCAATTGATCAAAACAAGAGTCTCCCTCCTCAACATCCTTAACCACTAGAGAGCTATTAGCCTTTTCGATTCTGTACTTGAAAAACATACATGTGTATACTACAAATACATCTTTCGATATCAAATTGATACAATCTATTGAGTAAATTGATAAACTTATTCCACAACAATAATGAATTTTTTTCTCTGTTTTTCAAGATTGAATTCTAATTTTAAGTCACGTTCATCATAAAAGTAGTTACAGAAATAAATATTAAGTTAATAATCATCAAGATTTAATATCAGAGTTCAGAGCTGTCAAGATTCTTCTTGTGTTGAGAAAAATTATCACATGCACATTCACTCACCAAAGTTGAATGGCATTTACATTAAAATATGAACAGTGATTATATACGTGTTAAGCAATGGAAACTGTGCTGGCTAGTTTTCTGTTGCAGGGACAATAGAATCAATTACCAATCTCGTGATGTTCCTCCACATCATGGAAAACGCATACTAAACTCATCTTTGTTGTTTTTGTCTGCCTCTTGCACAACAATCAACCTTAGGGGTTTGAAGATTTTAACAAGCAAACCATCTTCAAAAAAATGTGGTGAACCTCCATGAAATGGGCCAAACCAAGGTTCGAATGGTTTTAAACACTATTGACAGTTCATCTTGATAAAGTAAGCCCAAATCCACTCAAAACCCAAGTGAGAATTTGTGATTTTGTTAGAGAATATAGGTATGATATGGAATGATTCCCAAGTATATGCCAAATCATATGCTTAATAAATGATGTCACTCATTATGATATTGGGGGTGGGAGATGGGGCATTTCCAATAGAAAAAAATTATATGAAACGGGGATAACACTGTTTTGCTATCTCTAGCCAATCACACTATGCCAAGTAGAAAAATTATCACGCGTGGCATAACGTGATTAGTCAGGGATAGAAAAACAATGATATCCCCGTTGCACACTAGTGTTTCTTCATTTCCAACCTTGAAGCTTATTTTATACTTCTTTAATGCCATTGTTTGTCCATAAAAGACTTGTACCTCAAGTGATTAATAACAGTTATTTTTGCACCCGAAGTTTTAAGTTTGAATCCCCTCTCTCCCTTTATTGCTCGTATAAATAAACAAATGTTATTGTTTGCCCCCTTTTGTCTTTGCAAATTACACTCTGAATCAAAGACATGGAAATTCAAAAGGAGCTATGCAAATATTGGGTTGACAAGGATCCTAAGCCGGAAATTGCAATTGAGATGGAAAAGGTAAAAAAGATGATTTGGTTTCTGTCAGCCAAGACAAAATGAAATCACGTTCCTTAATTTTGCTTAATTAGAAACAAACATACAATTTATTTGCAGCAGACAAGCACGAAGTCATTTTCGTAGTCCTAAGTTGTGTCCAAGATAAGGATAATACAATAATTCACACGTTCGTTTTGGACATCAATTCATTATCATTAAAGTTCTCTCCAAACACCCTTTTATTAAAATTTGTTTTGGTCTTTAGTCTGTAACACTTGTGCATTTTATAGAGCAGGAACTTGGATCAATAGGTAATTAAAGTTGTCCAAGTGCAAGGCATCGAAACCTTCTCAACTTCGTGATGAATTATTGGTGTACTTGGATAGGAATGAACTATGTTCCTTGCCACATACGGAATTCATTTTAGCTACTCTATAGATATCTGAAAAACGAGACTTTTAGGCCTTCTTTGTCACACAAAACTACGACACATATTGGACTATTTAGTACTAATCAATTCTTGCATCAAACAAGGATTTATTTATTTAAGACCTGGACTAAGTAGGATTAAAGGCTCACTAGCTGGACTTATTTTAGCCCACTTAAATGAAGAGTTTATTGAAGACATGGACTAAGCAGGATTAAGAGTTGTTTATATAACCAAAAAGTTTTTTATTTATTAATTATTGTTACAATGGAGTGGAAGGAAAAGGAACTTTTAACATAATCCGCCTTTATCACTTGACCTAATCGCATTTTATTTGTCCGCTCGTTATATATTGATGTCAAATACCCTAAATATAAGGTTTATTTGACAATGTTTCAAGTAAAATTAAAATGTTGGTTTCAATCAATGTTTTCCAAAAGGAGATTTTGTCTATTTCAAGTTTCAACCAAACATTTTAGAAAACATGAAGCATTTTTTGTTATTTTTGGAAGCATTTCTGTCACAAGCATAACTAAATCAGGTTGGTTTTCACATGTTTTGCTGACCCATACCCTGCCATCCATCCCTCTCCCACCATTTCATGCATAATATAAGTTTTTGGCTTTACATATATTTTTATACTATTCAATTTCTGAAATTCTGTGTACTATATGTCTCTGTTTGGGGACATGAGCTTTATGTACACAGACATGGATGTCAATCAGCACTGGATATATCCTTCACTAGCATTCATGAACATGAAGTTAAAAAAAATGCACCAACAGCCGCCCAGATACCCCACAATTTCTATTTTTTTTTAAAACCTTTCTTTAGACCTGAGCTATGATTTACTAGATAAGATCAGAAAATCTGTTCTTCCCACCAATATTGACTTAATGCACGAAAAGACACAGATAATTCAAGAAACTACCCATAAAGAAAAGAAGAAAAAAGTCCCTTAATTCCTCTATTCCTCCAACCTATATATACACCCATGCATCCACTGATCCTTTCAAAAACTCAACCAAATATCACAAACGAATTGACACAACAATGTGGTGCTTTCTTTTGGCATTTGTTTCTCTGTTGTTGTTTTCCTCCATCCAAGGAGGCACAGCAGAGCAGTGTGGGAGGCAAGCAGGGGGTGCTCTGTGTCCAGGAGGGCAATGCTGCAGCAAGTATGGGTGGTGTGGCACTGCACCTGATTACTGCAGCACTGGTTGCCAAAGCCAATGTGGCAGCGGTGGTGGTGACGGTGACATTGGTAGCCTTGTGTCACGTAACACCTTTAATCAGATGCTTAAGCATAGGAATGATGGTGGTTGCCCAGCTAAGGGGTTTTATACCTATGATGCTTTCATTGCAGCTGCCAAGTCCTTCCCTAACTTTGCTAAAACTGGAGATGCTGCCGCCCAAAAAAGGGAAATTGCTGCTTTCTTAGCCCAAACTTCACATGAAACTACAGGGCAGTAATTCAATTAGTTAAAAAACATTTCTTACCAATTTACCATATCAGAAATATATACTAGGGATTGATTTAGAGTGCTGTTAAACGAACCCTAATATTAACTAAGTACACCCTATTATCAAATTATTTATTGAATTACTAGTTTACTCTAATATAAAATGACCAAACATAACAACGCCTCCACCGACGTCGACGACTGCTCCACCGAACATAGCAACGTCTCCTTCATAATGTCATTTCCTCCACCGTCACATTAACACCGTCGTCATACCATCCACTTCTCCACCATTACAGTAACGCCACCATTATACCATTATACTGGTGTCATGGTCGTCTAGTATTGGTATATCTCAGTTTGATTTTGTTATCAAATGGGTTATACTGTCTTGATTTGTTCTTCATGGGCTAAAATGTTTTATGACCTTCCTCTAGAAATTGGTTTTAATTTGTTGTTCAAATTGATTTATCCCAAATTAGTGACCAGTGTCAATTTTTTGGTACAATTTGCTACCATTTTCATTTCATACAAACTATATGTAACACTCTAATTAACTACCCTTTTTATTTTTGCAATCCGATTCATTTATTTTATTTGTCTCAACTAAATTACTTACTTTGCATGATGATTATATGTAAATTTCCAAGGGGTTGGGCAAGTGCACCTGATGGACCATAGTCTTGGGGGTATTGCTATCTCAAGGAACAAAACCCTGGATCTTATTGTGCCTGGGATCCTAATTACCCGTGTGCTGCTGGTAAGCAGTATTATGGCCGTGGTCGAATTTCAACTTTCTTGGTAAGTACATCTAATTAAATTATTTATCGTTTAAGTTATCAGAAAATCTTAAGTGTAACCGGTTGTATATAGTTATGTGTCCGTCTATCCAAAATAGGTACATTATGATAAAAATATATATTATCATGAATTATGTAGCTAGAATAATCATGTGTATTTGGACTATAGTAACTACAACTATGGACAGTGTGGAAAAGCAACGAGGGCGGACCTGTTGACCAACCCAGACCTAGTTCCTACAGACCCTGTTATTTCATTGAAGACAGCACTCTGGTTCTGGATGACCCCTCAGTCACCCAAGCCCTCATGCCATGATGTGATCACCAGGAGATTGAACCCGTCTGGAGCCGACAAGTCAGCGGGTCCCGGTTACGGGGTCACTACAAACATCATTAACGGTGGACTTGAATGTTGTAAGGGCTGGAACGCTAAGGTGGAGGATGGCATTGGGTTTTATAAGAGGTACTGTGACTTGCTTGGAGTTGGCTATGGCAACAACCAGAAGCCTTTTGGGTCCGATCTCAATGTTATTCAATTGGGTGGTTGGTGTCACTACTATTGTGACACTAAATCATGTGATGGCTAGTTATGAGAATAATTGTAACTCTGAGAAATGAAATAATAATGAACTTCTCTTTTAATTTTATGCACGCCAAGAAGGTGTAGTCTAATCAAAAGAGTTTTGACTTACATATTATTGGTCTTACGTTTCAACCCCCATGATATCCTTTATTTTTTGTCGAAACCCACATAGCACCCTGGAGCACTTCTACCTATTTGTCATGGCAAAAGGCAAGGACAAGTAAGGGGGGTTATTGTTCAAATGAATAGTATTTGCCCTATATAATTTTTTTTCACTCATTGCCTTGACAACCCAAGGGCAGTTACTATTCACATGAGATTAATTTTATTTATATGTGTGAAATTAATAAATAAAAAATTGCTACGTATTTATAAAAAAAAATTAAAAAAATTAATGAATTTCTTGGATTTTTTTTCAATTTTTTTTCTTCATGGACGTCATGCTGGCGTTAGCACCCTTAAACAACAGCTCAGGCTATTCTTGCCTTCTGGCTTGCCTAGTCTTGGTGGAGCCCACCATCTGTCCGGACTATATTTG